ATAAAGTTATTAATATAGTTATAGTATTTAGTTACTTAATAGCCTTAACTTATAATTATTTTTATAATAAGTATATAAGCTTATATTTTAAGAAGTATTTTTAATATTAAGTTAAAGAGCTATAATAAGTAACTAGGCCTTTTTATCCTTTAGTAAATATATTTAAGTTCTCTTTATATATTAAATATAATTATCAAATAGGCTAAAAAGCTTATTTTAGGTAATTATATTAGGTAGTTAGTATACTGCCTAAACTAATTTAATAAGAGTATTATTTTAAGTTAATAGAAACTGCTACTAATACTTATAGCCAGCACGCGCCTTATACAAGTGTCTAAAGGACTCAGTTTTTCGAATATTACCATTAACATAGACGGTATCATAAAAGTCTGGGTCGTTAATTAACAGTTCATCAGGCGTGACGCGTACGATGGGACCTAAAAAGGTTCTAGCAAGGAATCACGGAATTGAGGGGGGACTCAAACATACCGTATTTCTCATGCATGCGTTGGATGACTTTGTAGTATTGGCCTTGCTTCCAATAGTCATAGTACGACTCATAGAGGTGAGTTGACGCAGCAATCTTTGGACCAGGGAATTTGGCTAGAGGGGAGAAGAGAAGCCGGTAGGTAACAATAATGGAGAATCGCAAAACGACAAAGACAACACTTGCTAGCGCAAAGGGTTTCCAGTTTCCACTCTCTGGCATCTCATCCGGAAGCCACTGGCGAATGTCAATATTGAGATTATCCATTTTGAAGCTGTGCATCCTGCTTTCTCGACTTGTCAAAGAAAAGAATAGAGAGGACGAAGAAGTGTATAGAGCTATGGAAAAGGGGGGGAACAGCGACACCGGAAAATGGGAGCACAGCTGTAAAGGCACGAGATGCCTGAATTTTCAATCGGGATTACAAAGACATGCGTTTCGCGGCCCAAGACTTTGACATCATCATAGGGAAGAATCAAGGCAATTGCATTAGTTGCAATGTTTCGACAGTGATCGCGATTCCAAATCATTTACGTCTTCTCAAGTTTACATTTGCATGATGTGATCTTACGTGCATCTAGCCAAGTTGTCCCTTTGATAAAGAATAAACCCCAGTCCCAGGAACCAGAAGCTCTCCTGGGAAACACACCCTCGCTGAAGTCTCTGATACTTGCGAGCCAAGACATGTCAACTCTGGTTTATTCTGGTTTGAAGGAGGCAGATGAAATTTTCCGTGGGGGAAGCTTACGAGTCCAGTGCTTGGGAAGATAAGCTGGCATGCATGGTGATACTCAATAAGATACAAACGCGCAATGGATATTGTTTTGGTCGATACGAAAACAAACCCCCACCATGCCATTGCCTCCCGGAGCGGGCCGTAGTATACTAAATAAGCGTTCTTCTGTATGTCAGCTTACAGGCGTGGATCCGGAAGGAGGAGGGGTGTGCTTCCGCAAAATGCTTTGCCCTGCATGTGTCGTATCACTTGGGCGGGGTCCCAAACCACCACAGGCTCACTCATATCATGAATGCAGAATCCCAGAGGGACTTGGCACTTTGCAAGCCTTGGAACATGTATATCAATCTCTAGAAACAGTAACCTCCGAGCGAAACTTTGATCACGTCAATGAGCGCATAGATTACACTCATCACGCAGATTTGAGGGGGTTAACATCATGTACCTAGCTATCAAGGTCGGAAGACGGCTTGGAAAGTCTGGGCACTGTTCCGTTCCCGTGTCTTGGCGACTTTGAAAAACAACGCATCTTTGACAGACAATCCTAATGCCATAGTACTGACTTTGCCTCAGCTGGATTGGTGAATCACGCTAATCGGCCGCGAGAACACATGTGTTTAGCTACAGGGCAAGTAGTGGCAAAGTCTTGTCAGCTGTTGTTTCTAGCGATTATGTTCAGTGCATCCGCGGACGCTGTTGTAGTATCAGGCGCGCTTCTCAGTTACCTTTAGGGCGAGTTCACCGACAGTTATGCACTGAAAAGTAGTGAGTCAATTGTTCAAAGAAACAAGCTGTACAATTTCCATTATGTACATACTTGGTATATTTCCAAATGTAGTTTATGAGAATGCTATTTGATGCTTGCATTACATTCCTCGAGCGTTAAAAAGCTTGAAATGCATTTTATCATGCTTGGGTCTGATTGTCTTCAAAAGAATGGATTTGTGACCTACTACCTAGCGACAGTCTGGCGGTTGTAAAACTAAATGAAAAGGAAAATACGTTGTTCTGCCCCTATTCCACACGCAGCATCTCAAGAATAAGCTCAAGCTGATGGTTCTCCACCCCGAAGACACCAGATAGCCTCTGTAGCTCTACTTCCAGCTCATTGTATAACGAGTGCAGTACCTTTTCAGTCTCCACAAAGCCACCAGCCTCCTCGATAAGGTCCAACGCCAAGATCTTCTGTTCAAAGGTCATACATTTGTTGATGCTGCGCTGAACCAGCTGGTTCCTCAGCTGAGCTGTTGCTTTGGGCGACCTGGTGGGTTCATTGAAGATGATGACGAGGGTTAGGGAGAATTTGCCCTCGTCCAGATCTTCACAGAATCCCTTTTGCTGAGTGTACTGTCGTAGTTGGTTAGCATTCAAATAGATGGAATAGTGAATATATACTTACATCGGCAAGCTTGAGATTGGCATAGTCATCGCGGATCTGGAAGAATCGACCGAATAGTTGGCATAAGCGACTGAAGTCGACCTTGTCATCCACCGAAGACTCAGCCGCCATGAGTCGCATCAGGAGGCGGAACAAACCACCAGTCTTGCCATCAACCATCTGAAGATACTCATCCAGTGATGGACAGATCATAGTGGAAGTCCACTGAAGCTCGTACGCCTGCCCGATGAACAGCTGCCTGATCTCATCAACAAAGATACCCAATGCCTTGGGGCTCGTCAGCCGGTTCAGCTGGCTAACAGACTGGATATACTTGAAGGTCGCCGAGTTAATCGTCTGCGCTTCACCAAATACAGCGTGGGCAGATGGCTTGCCACGTCGGAGCTGAGAGTGGTCTTCAATATCATCAAGCATAAGTGATGACCCATGAAGACTTTCGGTAATGGCCTTGATTGTGTTGACTTGATCTGCAGGAACCTTGAGCCAGAAGTTAAGAGCATCAATTGCCTTGTTTCGAACTCCCTTGGAAGGCAAGGAGCACAGATATCGATAGGGCTCCATGACGACATCGTCCTTCATCGGAGGCAGGTTCTGAGCACAAGCATCAGACCATGTTTTCTTGTGCGTAGTGTCAGCCGATTGAGGAACTGTCCATCCAGACCCATTGCCTGCGATACTTGTATCGGAGTTGGGGTCTGCTTCCTCAGCGCTACAGGCAGTGGAAGAATCGTCGCGACCATTCTCAAGGGAGTGGTCACTGGTAGTAGGCTCAGATGTCTCAGAACCGCCAGCCCATTCAGAAGGCTTGTCGTCATTCTGACGGTTCTTCTCCAAGATTGCCCTGACTGAAAGCTCTTCGATGCCGGGGCTATCCGGCGTCGACAGTCTGTGAATTTCGGTGGCCTCTGTCATAGACGCTTCTTTAGCAGCCTGTACCGGATCATAAGAAGACTCGAGCTGCTCCTTTGTCTGCAGCAGCCTGGCTTGCTGACGCTCGTTGTACGGAGCGCTCATGTCATATCTTCGGCACTGAGTGCTCCAGATAGCATTTCCACTTACCAAAGAGCATGTGGTAGATGTAGTCTTTGAGATCTTGAGAAACGTCGCTTCTTTTTCTTGTCTCCTTGGTGACCTGGAGACACTTGGCGACTTCGATCTTGTTGCGTGCTCTGCAGAGACGTTCGGCTTCTTGAAGCGAGCAGTTATGCTGTCTTTGAAGAACAACAAGAGCATTGACAAAGTCGCCAGGCTTTCCAGACTTCTCCGCTGCGGCGGCTTCTTTACCATAAGACCAGATATCATTGGTCAAGGTTACCGACACGATTGCTGGGAGAGCCAGCTGGTGGCACAGGTTGATCTCATGATCGGGGATTGTGATAGCACAGCCGAAGATGATGAGAGCGTGCCAGAACCTGACTCATGTTAACAGATATTTCATAAGCTGGGACGTAACGTACATATAACCAACATCAGTTGATCTATAGTGAAGATATTCATCAAAGGTCTTGAAGTTTGTGTCGTGGGCGCACCCAGCGCCTGTATTGACAAAGGTGGCCCACGCGTTCATGGCTGCCAATGCACGCGGCCGGTCGATGGCTGCCATTTGCTTGAAGATATAGGCTTGAAGGTGCCGTTTTCCAGAATTGCGACTTTCGATATCCCCATCTCGGATACCTTGCTGCAGGGCATTAAGGAACTCATCGTTCTCAGCCGCCACCTATATGCCGTCAGCTTTCGCTTTCAAAAGTCAAGTACGGTATATCAGACCGTCTCTGCTGACTCCACGTCTGTAATATCATCATGAAGAAACGCAAATTCGTTTGCATATGAGACGATCTCAAGTCTCTCGGGCAGACACTCGGGCAATGTGAGGCAGATGAAATTATGCACTGGGCCCATACCACCTCTGAAAGGTAGCTTGGGTCCCACATGTTCTTCCCAATCATACTGGGCTTTGTAAATCGCAACTTCATCAAGGTCTAAGCCCTTGTGCTTGCGGATAGGGACGCCATCACAAAGACCATCAGTATCACAGTCTGTGGGCTCAAAAGAATAGCGGTAGATGAAGTCCATAGGTAATGGCATATGGGCAAAGGATATTACATAAAAAGATCAGTCCAGGCAGTGTTGAAAACGGAAATATGATGTGGAGGATATTATGAATTTTATCTGCTTGGGCTTCTGTTCTTTGGAGCTCTATATATAGCTACATATAGGGCCAAGATTGAACAATGTAGGGGCACTAGGAGGAAGAGAAAAGAGATAAACATTGTTAGTGCAAATAGTTACTAACTAAAACGAGGTACTGTATACACGGACATTAGAGGGGTAGATATATCAAGACAGTAAGAGGCTGTAAGAAAAGGCAGTACAAGGGCATGTTGAGCCAAGACCTAATATATACTCTAACCCTATACTTTATATAGCCTTAAGTATATTAAGCTTATGTTAAAATTAATAATAAGTATATTTACTTTATTTAAAAGGTTATTATTTTATTTTATAGACTTTTAAATAAATAAATTTTATTATCTTATAGAGAGCTTAATAAAGCCCTTTTAGCCCTTTAATTTAATTTAATTTCTTTACAATGCTTGTATAACTACCTTTTTAAATCTTATAAACTAAATATTTAATATCTATAAAGATAGTTCTATCTTAATATACTATACTCTTAATATTTACTCAAGACTCTTTTTTTAACATTCTCAGGATATCCATTCTCAAAATCACAAGTCACCCAGCTTTGCTTCCCTTCATACTCCTCTGGCAACAAACAATTAGCCACAACCTTTCCCCCCGTGAGCTTTGTCCCAGGGCCGTGCGACATGTACGGCACGAGTGGGTAAGCAGGGACATCCTCAAAATGGAACTCATCCATCGCTGGTCTGCACCTCGTTGCAAAAGCCCAAGTGACATCATTCATGTCGAAAGGGTTAATGTCCTCTCCTACTACTAGCAGACGGTGGATCTGCATTCCGCACTTATTGCGGAACACAAGGTCTCCTATCTTGGTGCAGAAGTCTTTGGCGTTGGTCCCCATTTCCGCTAGCTTCTTGCGGTCGACTTGAACAGCTGCCCAGATGACCTGTGTCTCGAACAAAGCAAATACCTGAGTCACCGGCAAGCCCTGCTGCTGAAGCAAGTGTCGGATTTCTGCCGAGGCAAGTGTGCCAATCATGGTATGCGTCTCATCTGGACCGAGGTTTGCGCGTCCAGGTACGCAAACTGGGAGAATGGCGTTGTTTCGATGGGTGATGGCTTTAACTTTGTACAAAGGCTGTTGGGAGTTTTCATCGAGAAAGCTGTAGCCGTGCATCTCTCCAAATGGTCCCTCTTTGGCAGTGTCTGTGATAGAAATGGTGCCTTCCAACACGATCTCGCTCGTTGCTGGAACGTACATGTCGTTGGTTTCACACTTGACTAGCCCTAATGGTGAACCGCAGAGTGCGCCTACGTATTCGGACTCTGATACGCCGGCAGGTAGAGGCATACTGGCCGCCATAGTAGCGATAGGTGGAGCGCCCAGGGCAATGGCATACGGGACGTCTTTGCCGGTCTTCTTCCATTCTTCGAAGATCCTAGCAATGTGCTGTGGCTTCATGATGAGACCGACCATTCGTGTCTTGTCATAAACCATTGCCCGTGCGATTGACCAATTTGTCCATGACTCTGTTGGATGGGGTATGATATTAATACCCAATGTTTGGATGTAGTTCCCTCCGTCGGCCTTGTTCAGAAGAGGAGCAGGCAGCTTGGTGAGATCGACATCATCATTCATGATGATGTTCTCTTTGCAAGGCCCCGTAGATACGTGAACTGGAGGAAGCGGCTTTTCTCCCTTTGCCGATAGCATCTTGTCGATGACATCTATCACGCCAGCTTCTTTCGTAAGAGCCAGGTGTTGTGCAAGACGTCGGTAAGGAAACTTTGGGTCACTGGAGAAACCAGCTGGTGCACCCAGAATGCGAAAGAGGCCGTCTTTTGCCCCCTTCACATTGTGGAACAACGGAGCCTTGGTGCGCTGTTCATAGGCCAGACGAATGGCAGCTGCGACCTCGAGTTTGGGATCGACTTCGGCAGTGATATCGACCAAGTCATTGTCCTGTCGCAAAGCATCCACAAAGGCCCGAAAGTCGAGGTGCGCAAGAGAGGAATTCCCCTCGACTGAAAGTGACCGGCGCGACGTACGGCTCGCGAGGAGCCTGTTCCCCAGTGTAGAACGAAAGCGCTGCATAACTATCGTGGAATTTTCAAATCTCTGACAGATGCATTCTCGATGTCAACCCTCCAGGTCGTTGACCACCCACGAAATTTAAGCGGGTGAAGTATTGTCGGCCGCCTCGTACCACATCTGGAAATGCGCTGTAGTCAGCCTTATCAAGCATGTTACTCAGCACTACTGCAATGATGCGTCATATCGTAGCAAGCCACAATGTAATAGGTCTTATCTCCATGGCGAAGGCGTACCGGCCGGTTATCCGAAATCACACCACTTCAAAGGTCTAATTGATTCATCGTTCTCTGCCCTTCATGATGTTCGGGCTTTGTCCTTAGCTATAATAGCTTGACGGGGTTATAATTTAACTATTAAAACTCTGTATAAAGAACATTTGAGGACATTCATTCGTGACCTTGAATGATTGATTCATCGTGGCCGATGAGCTTGGAAGGTGACCTTGCGAAGTCAATGGTCGGCAAGATTCCCAACAAGCTAGTCTACGTCGGGTTGCTCTAGCCAATAGACCCTGCTGGCTTTTGTGGACAGACATTTAAGATAGGGAAGACTGATGTGAGTTTCGTATACAAGCAGGACTGTGAGATTTGGCGTTCTTTTTACGTTGTAAATTTAGGAATGATGCAAGATCGGCACACCCATTCTAGTGTATAGTGCTTACAACCTTACATACTGTAAGCAAATATTATCACGAGAGTGAGTGGTATATTTGTAAAGTCTGACTAAACGTACTCAAGCGCTTATGGCATTCCTCTCTGTACCCTGATCGATTCAGTTACTTGTATCATGATTGTGGTTTTAAAATCGTCTACAAGCTGCTAAGTAGATCCGATTTTCGATCTGTGCGAATCCAAACAAACTACTCAGTTCTCAATAGTAACAGAAATTACTAAAAAGCTTCAATCAAATCCATTCCTCCCAAGATGCGCACTCTTGTCCGCCTCTTATGCCGTTTCAATGGACATGATCTCCAAACCCTTTCACCGGCTCATTGCCTACCAGCTCAAAAACGCAACCAATCATCCTTTGCTAGACTCAGTGGCCGTCGGAAACGTATAGTTGTTGCTGTTACGGGAGCCACTGGTTCACCCTTGGCAGTTGCTCTCCTCAAACGTCTCCAGGAACTCAAGGTCGAGACACATCTTATCATGTCGAAATGGGGAGGGGTAACACTCAAATACGAACTCGAAGCCCCAAGCAACACGGTTTTATATCTAGAATCTCTTGCCTCAGTCACCCACTCATCCCTAGATGTGTCAGCTTCACTATCTTCTGGTTCCTTTCGCACAGACGGCATGATTGTAGTTCCATGCAGTATGAAGACACTGGCGGGCATACGCATGGGCTATGATAACGACCTTATCGTACGAGCGGCAAGTGTGACACTGAAGGAGAGAAGAAGGCTTGTTCTAGTGGCTAGAGAAACGCCGTTGACGAGTATTTACTTGGAGAATATGCTTGAAGTAACGAAAGCCGGCGCCGTGGTATTTCCACCAGTGATGGCCTTTTATACAAGGCCAAGCTCAATCGATGATATGGTACAGCAAAGTGTTATGAGGATGATCGACCTGCTCGACCTGGGAGTCATAGATGGAGACATGGAAGATGAGGCACGTTGGTCAGGGTTTGACTGGGCAGGAAAGGTGAAGAAGCAAAACATATAGTGCAGACAATAGTCCTGAAACTGAGTATCTTTGATTTCAAATCAAACTCCTATTCTGTACCTGAAAGCAGAAGCCCTTCGGTAAAGAAATTTTTCCAGAGTATCTCTACACCAGCACTGGCCGCGGCATCTAAGAAGCAGTTATCTAGCGACATAGATGGGTCTAGACAGAGGCTATGTTCCGTCGGCTGAGACAGATAATCAAGTCCCAAGACCTGTTGCTGAGGTATTGGGAGCCCTTGGTGTACTTCTGGGGGTTTGACCTGTTTGTCTTTGCTCGAGTCTTGAACTTGAAGATTCATGAGAGGTTTGATGGTGTCGGTAGTAGGCTTATCAAAAACTTCGAGCTTGATGATCATGACAACTGCGTACATCAATCTGGTAAAGACGATCACGGGCAATTGCTGTGAAGTTTCAGGACAGAATTGCAAGAACAACTGAGTCAGTTTCCGAGCCACACTCAGGCATTCTATGCGGGCATCAATATACTCTAGCGCATCTAGAAGGGATGCGTTCGTAGAGAGCAAGGTCTTTATAGCATAAGGAGGTCGAAAATCTCGAAACTCGTGATTCTGATAAAGACCTAGTTCATAAAGGTTAAGAAGAACAACATGGTAGCGTATGTCGAGTGTTACTTTAACTGTCAGTTACTTGAGAAAAAGAAGGTACTGGCAACCTTACAGCTTATGACTTGTTCTGGTAAACCCCGTCTCCAATCCTTAGCACGTTCGAGACAGCCTTGCAGAATAAACCAGATACGCGGGTCCAAATGATTAGATCCTGACTTCCCACCTGACCCAAATCTGGCTATGGCAAGAGACTCCTCTGCATTCCTTTGGAGTCTGATCCATGCTGCTAAGCGTGTCACCAATATGTGAGCTCGCTGGAGAATCCAAGATATCGATACACTCTTGTACCCAAGGGCCATAGTGAAGCGTGCTCGGCCTACGGAATGACATGGCGATAGTGAATAGATATTAGCATAACTACGGGATATCCAAAAGAGGAAGAGACGTTGTACCCTGAGCATAGAAAGTAGCAAGCTGAGAACGCTCTGGATGTTTCCAAGTATTCCTTCGAATATAAAATCTGGGGATCGGATGACGGAATTTGATATCGCTCGTCATTTGAGGATTGCAGGTCAATCACTATAGGTGCTGCGATATTAATGGACTGGCTACAGTTCAGATGCTGGAACTCATCCGGTGGATGACTCCAAGTAACAAGAACCAAAGCAGCTTGTATGAGGTCTATGGATTTCCGACCGTGAATCATTGCTTCTTCCATGATGTATCGCTCTGCATCTCGAAAGAGTGGTGTCCAGAGCTCTGGCCTCGAGCTGCTTGATGACGTTGCGAGTATGGCTCGGACGAGCGCTGGTCGATCTCGCTGCAACGTCCGCCATGAAAACGCAGCGTCGGGGAGAATCAAAGGGTAGTGCGGTAAAAGGTCAGTAAAGAACTAGGTATAAAGTTCATCTGCAAGTGATTCTTCAACAAGACCCCTCGATCCAGGATCTCCATTGGCCGGCGATTCGCTGGTAGTTTGATAAGATGTCGACTGGCTTGAAGACGTGGTTGAGGTGTGCCCAATCGATAGAAACGAGTCTTGGGTACTCGCGGGCGTTATCGAGGCTTCTGAGGTTGTTGGTATGCACAGGTCTCTTTGGCCTCCTGTAGCGACGGCTCGCTGAACTTCCTCAAGCTTCTGTTCAAGTTCATGGATCCTTGTTTCATTTCGTCTCCGTCTTTTTCTTGTGGCTGGAGCTTTGAAGATACATTCAATGTCCAGCTCCTTGCAGCGGTTGCACTTTTCCGGCGAAGGACGTGAGTTAGAAGGGTCTGAGATGCATCTGATCTTCCTCTTCCGGCAACCCTTGGGCTCGCATTAGCAATGGCGCTGACATGCATTGGTTCATAATACCTCGCAAGTCCTACTGAAACGAGGCTCCGCGGTAACCTCAGCGATATTCATACTGTATCCGTTGGTGTATCTGTCCCTATCACGAAAGCGGAATGAACGAAGCGTCACGGTCGCGGCTTGGGAATCTGAGCCTGCGCTGAAGCACTTTTTCGAGCCCAGGGCGGAACTTAATAAAGTACCGCGTGCCGACACAGACGCGCGCTAGACTGTGTAAGATAATGGACGTAGGACGGATGACTTGTGGTTAATGATGGCAACCCTTGTTAGTGCTTACACATTATTACTCCGCCTACCCTGTATTCAAATTTCAGTCTGTGAGAATCTCTGGATAAAGGTAAAAGATTTATCCATCAAGCCAACTTGCATTTATATAACTAACTGTAAAGAAGATATTGACAAGGTAGGCGCTGGCAATAAGATATACAAATAAATAATAGTTAACTGTATTTAATACTATAGATTGCTTTACCTAGCTACAGGATAAGAATTAAAACTTAAAATATAGTCTTAGCTATATTTAAGTATGTTGAAATTTAAATTTATCTAAGGTTAGTTTCATAATTTCTTTAAATATATATAAAAGTATATCTAAAGTCTTAATTTCTAAATTAAATTACTTAGACCGCTGTCCCCTTATCTATTGTATCTATATTATAAGTCCGTTGGAAACACACGCAGTTAGCAGTAATGATAGGTCCTGCTCCTGAAGCCATTCGTCCCAATCGGATCCAAGAAACGAAGACACTAGCTTTAACAAATACTGTCCTACATCCTTCACCTGCCATAGCGACTCCCCAGCGTGAAGGAGAATAGAATAACGGCCCACCCATGATAGCGATAGCTTCCGGAATACCCCTTTCCAGCAAATCGATAAATTGCTCTGGTAATAGAATCGGCCAAACAAATATCATGCGTAGGCCAAATGAGTTCCTGTCAGGATGCTGTAGAACATCAAGAGCCCCTTCTACTAGGCTAAGCGCCTTGGTGCACGCCTCCTTATAAGTTATCATGATGGTCTAACCGTGTCGTCCGGGACAGCAGTGACAGATAATGCGAGGGAAGCGGAGGTGGGTTATGAAAGCCCAGAGGATCATTGCACCTCGTGATAAGAGGACCGACGTTTGACGTTAGTAATATCTCCCATTCCTGTGCTGTCGTGACAGCTCTGACGCCCCGGTGAACTCGTGCACCCTGCGTAAATCGGTCGACAAATGACTCGAGATCAGGATCTCGACTGGCGAGCACATCGGCCAACATGTGGCGGCCTAGTATGGAGGATAATAGTAGCCTAGCTATGGAATTATCATCAGAAGTGGTAGTGTCCGCACTGTTGAATAGTTCGATAGCCTTGGTCTGCAGTTCCACTGCCTGGCGTGAATAGCAATCTGCCTCGTCGGTATTGGCGGTTGATAAGTATCGAGCCGAGAATGCCAGGACCTCAAGCATTAAATACTTCTCTCTCAGGACAGCTTCTAGTACTAACTTTGTACATAAATGATCCTCTCCAAGCTCTGGGGTATATATGGCGAATGAAAAATGAACAAGTAGCTCTAGATGGCTTATGTTGACGTCGGTCGTCTGTGTCTTTTCTATTCTTAGACTGCTTATGGCTGACGAATTCTCTTTCTCTTGGATTAAGGTCGCGTTCGACTCTGAGGATGATAGGGCGGCATCGTTCACATCCTGGGAACAAACTGTGAGAAAGCGGCCGAAAGAGTTGTAAATGAACTCGATGAAATGAGCACAAAATGACATGGGGCATGGTTCATACCGGAGACTTGCGCTCGCGATACTCGCAATTTCGCTCTGCAGTAATGCAGTTCATACAAATGGGTTTGCCTTCGTCGCACTACCAAAACTTGTTAAGAATACTGACGCATGCATACATGTAGCATATAGAGAAAACTTACCCGGATATGCCGGCGCTTGCACTTGAGGTAGCCTTTTCTTGACTTTTTATGTCTACAGCGTTGCATTCCTAGAGTAGGTACCAAAGAAGGGTCCTTGTAAGTGCCTGGATTGGCTGATACTACCGATATGCTTGATGCGGCAGCGGTTAAAGGAATGGCGAGACAGAGAAATAGAAAGGAAGTAGCTGGTTCTTAATTACGCGTATTTCAGATGCGTCGGAAGATACGGATAGGGAGCCTGAGATGGTGAGATAAGAGGATTTGGAGCTGGGGAAAATAAGATCTCGATAGTGCACGGAGCAACATGACTAGGTAATAACAGGTCATCACTTGGGACTTGTCTCCGCAACTAAAAATAAAACCGTCCTTAATTGGAACACATGTAGATAGCGCGCGCAATAAAAGAGCTTGGGGCAATTTAGCTGTTGAAATACGCGTAAATTTCAGTGCCCACTTTCATCACACGGAAAGCAAAAGGTCTAGCTTCAATAGTGACCAAGATCGCTAACTTTGCGAAATGCGTGAAAAGTGAAAAATATATACTGGTCCTCAACGGGATTTGAGTAACCTGTATCTTCATCGCCTAAGAAATATATATACTGCCTCCCCGCCCTCATAGCTTGCCATGCTGATTAGTCTATTCAATGCTCGTTTCAAAGGTCACTCAAACAAAAATTTCCGCCATCAAATATCGAGAAGAGAATATTGCATTTACTTTAAACTTGGACAAAATAACTCTATTAAGCGCCATGCCGAGCAGGAGAAAGGTGAGAAATGCCTCTTCCGCTTAATGGTCTGGATTCCATCGCTTGGTCAGGACCAGATGATCCAGCAAATTGAAGAGACTGGTCCAACAAGAGTAACTGGCTCAATATCTCGTTTCTATCACTGCTTACACTCATAACGTGAGTCCTTCCTTAAACTGCCTGGTGCATCTCTACTTACGGCATGACAGTCTACTTAGCTCTCCAATGTTTGCACCATGTGTTTCGATCATGTGTATGGGACTTATGACTGTCCATGTAACCAGCCGCCTTGACCCGAGCAAACAAGTTGCTAATTTATCTAGTTCTGCATTCAGAATCATCAACTCGACACATATCCACGATATCCTGCATCTGTCTCAGCAACATTGACGATCCTGAGATCCTTTGTCATCTGTATGAAC